GTAGTTTTAGTAGAGACGGGGTTTCACCATGTTGACCAGGATGGTCTCGATCTCTTGACCTCGTGATCCACCCGCCTCAGCCTCCCAAAGTGCTGGGATTACAGGCGTGAGCCACCGCGCCTGGCCTGGTTTTCTAATTCTTTTAGTTGTGATGTTAGGTTGTTAACTTGATATCTTTCTAACATTTTGATGTGAGGCTTTAGTGCCAGAATGTAGTGAGGTCAGATGTATTAAGGCCAGGTGTGGTGGCTCACGCCTGTAACCCCTACACTTTGGGAGGCCAACATGGGAAAATCACTTGAGCCCAGGAGTTTCAGACCAGACTAGGAAACATGTGGAAAATCTGTCTTTACCGAAAATATGAAAATTAACCAGGTGTTCTGGCACACACCTGTGATTTCAGCTACTTGGGAGGCTGCAGTGGGAGAGTCATCTAAGCCTGGGGAGTTTGAGGCTGCACTCCTTGCTGGGCAACAGAGTGAGACCCCTGTCACAAACAAACAAGCAAGCAACAGATATTTTATGCCCTTCTCAGAGTGGGAAGCTAATTTAACAAAATACAGCATTTTAAAATTTAAATTTTGCCGGGCGCGGTGGCTCACGCCTGTAATCCCAGCACTGTGGGAGGCCGAGGCAGGTGGATCACGAGGTCAAGAGATCGAGACCATCCTGGTCAACATGGTGAAACCCCGTCTCTACTAAAAATACAAAAAATTAGCTGGGCATGGTGGCGTGTGCCTGTAATCCCAGCGGCTCAGGAGGCTGAGGCAGGAGAATTGCCTGAACCCGGGAGGCGGAGGTTGCGGTGAGCCGAGATCGCGCCATTGCACTCCAGGCTGGGTAACAAGAGCGAAACTCCGTCTCAAAAACAAACAAACAAACAAACAAAAATAAATAAATAAAATTTAAATTTTTAAATTTAATTTATTTTTTTGAGACAGAGTCTTGCTCTAGTGTTTAGGCTGGAGTGCAATGGTGTGATCTTGGCTCACCACAACCTCCACCTCCTGGGTTCAAGTGATTCTCCTGACTCAGCCTCCTGAGTAGCTGGGTTTACAGGCATGCACCGCTACGCCTGGCTAATTTTTGTATTTTTTAGTAGAGACAGTTTCTCCATGTCGGTTAGGCTGGTCTCAAGCTCCCTATCTTGGTGATCTGTCCACTCTGGCCTCCCAAAGTGCTGGGATTATGGGTGTGAGCCACCACGCTTGGCCTTAAACTTTATTTTTAAGTTTTTTTTTTTTTTTTTTTTTGAGACGGATTTACGCTCTTGTTACCCAGGCTGGAGTGCAATGGCGCGATCTTGGCTCATTGCAACCTCCGCCTCCTGGGTTCAGGCAATTCTCCTGCCTCAGCCTCCTGAGTAGCTGGCATTACAGGCACGCACCACCATGCCCAGCTAATTTTTTGTATTTTCGGTAGAGACGGGGTTTCACCATGTTGACCAGGATGGTCTCGATCTCTTGACCTCGTGATCCACCCGCCTCGGCCTCCCAAAGTGCTGGGATTACAGGCTTGAGCCACCGTGCCCGGCCCTATTTTTAAGTTTTAATCTATTTATTTATGTATTTTGAAATCAGGTTATGAAACTGGCTCATTTTTGTATTTTTGGTTGAGATATGAGGTTTTACCATCTTGCCCAGGCTGGTCTCGAACTCCTGGGCTCAAACAATTCCCCATCTTGGCTTTCTAAAGTACTGGGATTACAGGCGTGATTCACTATGCCCGGCTGCATTTTTTTTTTTTTAATCGTTTGTCTTTCCAAGACTTTCATGGGAGAGAGTTTGGTTTGTTTATATTCATTCTAAATAGACATTTAGGGTGTCAGCTTCTGTCCTCACGAACTCTGAGGCTACAAGTCCCCTGTCTTATCATAGGACCATACAGGTGAAAAATAAAAGAATAGAGCCGGGCACAATGGCGCACAAGAATCACTTGAACCCGGGAGGTGGAGGTTGCTGTGAGCTAAGATCATGCCACTGCATTCCAGCCTGGGCAACAAAGCAAGACTCAGTCTCAGACTGGGCATGTTGGCTCACTCCTGTAATTCCAGCACTTTGGGAGGCCGAGCGGACAGATCGCAAGGTCAGGAGTTCAAGACCAGCGTGGCCAACATAGTGAAACCATGCATCTTCTAAAAGTAATACAAAAGTTAGCCGGGCATGGTGGCGTGTGCCTGTAATCCTAGCTACTCCGGAGGCTAAGACAGGAAACTCGCTTGGACCTGGGAGGTCGAGGCTCCAGCCTGGGTGACAAAATCAGACTCCGTTAAAAACAAACAAACAAACAAACAAAACCCTCTATCTCCAAAAGTAAAGAAAGAAATGAGAAAACATAACGTTTGGGCCGGGTGCGGTGGCTCAAGCCTGTAATCCCAGCACTTTGGGAGGCCGAGGCGGGTGGATCACGAGGTCAAGAGATCGAGACCATCCTGGCCAACATGGTGAAACCCCGTCTCTACTAAAAATACAAAAA